AAAACTACACGAGAGCTATCTGCACTAGCTGTCCCTAATTTAGCAGTGAAAGACTAGAGGGAAGGCAGCTAGTCATCACCACCTACAACTAACTCTTGGGCTACTCTTTTACCAAGGAATAGTGGGATTGACTGTCACATTATAATACCCCCACAGCTGAAAGAGCGAGAATGTTTGGTGAGATGGGGATTCGAACCCGTGAACCTCAGATTGCGAGCAACCACTCTAACCACCTGTCAGAGATGTCAGGGTTTCGGGGGCACTATACCCAAACACCAGTGTTAGAAACAATGTCCACAACACCTATTGAGAACGTCCAACAGTGGTACTTGGTTGATCCTAGCCCATAAATACCAGCTAACTGACCCTGAGGAAGCCACCTCAAGACCACCTATCTACAGGAAATCAAGGCCAAAGTGGTGTGTTAAGTGCCATTGACATAAAGGACCCATTAATGACACCACTTATCCATCAAAAACCTCTCCTCCCCTTTAAGATCCCAGAGAAGGTAAACTGAAAATACAAAACCTTTCCTGGGAGGTCCCCTCACCATGCACAGGAATCCACCTCGAGGGGTGTACAATAAACACATGTATTGGTATACAACTACAAGAAACAAAATGTAAAGTTGTTCTCAAAGGACCCTCTTAAAAGGCAAAAATTGTATCATCACAGATTTGATGACCTGCTTACATCAATGTCACAGTGTAAAGTAACAAAAGATGAGCAGCAACGAAACGCTTTCATCAGAAAAGAATAATGTTTCAGTAGCATGCTTACCTTGTTAAGTCTATATGACACACAATTATGTTCTTAACATCATGCTATGTACAAGTGTTTGCTGAAATAAGACACCAGAAACTATTCAGGCAAAACAGACAAAAGTGACATACTTAGTGTAAGTCGCTAATTATTGACAACATTTACAACTGCTACCTTAACACTAACTATTTAAAAATAGCAATACTTATATAAAATAGTGCTATAAGGAATGGTAATAAATACTTAATATGCACTCACGATTTCAGCTAAGTATAAGAAACAGTAGAAAGGATCAACACCGTCGTCAGAATAGAGAAATATACTATGCTAATCGTCCACTGTTAAAAACTTGCTGAAATATAGTCGCAGAAATTCACGTAGAGACAGCAAACTCGAGTAACGATAAACAATAATGAATCGAGTAGCGATATGCAACAGCAAAATCGGGAACCAAGTTTCTTTGTTAATACGATATCTTTATTTTATCAATTTCAGTAGTTTCTCTGGTATTTAACAACATTTAGAATTTAAAACTGAAATTAAAAAACAAAAATATCATATTAAACAAAGAAGCTGGTCCTGGTATAGAAATAATAAAGTACTGGATAGATGGTTTGTAACTCTTTGTAGGTTAAGTCCCAACCATTCGTTCACCATTGCTCCTAAAGATGGTGTCATAGGACACCAAAACATATGTAGAGTCGCTTTTAGGGCAACTCCCTGTTTTTAATAACTATTTATTGTGCAATGATTTTAACGTTGTATATCTTTTAATTGTAAATAAAACATACGTCTAAAACATCGCTTTAAATAAACCTTCATGTCTTTTAAAGTTATTATCTACTGAGCCAGGTGGCTTAATGCCTAAGGTTTCGCGTGAACACGCGTTTAGCATGCGTCGGGTACAAAAGCAGCTGCTTATAACAACATAGCATCTACTCTGTATTTATAACCACGTAAATAAACTTTTAAATAGGTCATGAGTATTCTCAGCGGGCTTTATATAGTAATTCTGTATAGATTTTGGTGCAAAATATGTGTGTTAATCCGGCCAAACTAGATTCGTCTCACATAAACCGCCATTCGGGGCGCCTCATAGAGCATAGTAGGGTGGCCGTCCTGTTTATCTTCTTCCAAATGACGTTCTTGGCCTTATCGGCGAAGATGATGACTTTATCTATTATGTAAAATGTAAATATTCAGTAACTTTTTTCTCGCTCATATCTTGTTCATTCTTGTTTAAAGCGAATACATTAATTTTGTTTACATATTTTTAACTAGATTGACTTTTTATTTAATTCCATATAAGTAAACATTTATTGAGTGATTCACTATTAAACAGCACAATATAAGGACATTAAAAACGTGTTTGTTTCATTTTATCCAATAAGATGAGCTGCGAGGTTCTCTGAAGGCCGTTAATGCTGTTTATATCATAGTGGAAAACGAAAACGTTGAAAAAGCCAGAAATGCTACTGGAAACCTCGACAACTTTAAGGTAAGATTTATATAAATATATGTTTTAACGTGTTTATGTTAGTTAGTATATATTCAAATATAGAGAGTACTTTCTCATACTTTAGTGTTAAGAGATGGAGAGTTTTACACAGTGATGTAAGAATAATTTTTAACTGAAAAAATTACGTTGTAAAGAGAAATTGTCATAACAGTCTATGTATTTATGGAGTTTGTGTTTCAGATATGATATAAATCATATCGGGAATGAATGGAATGTAAAATGGTGAGTTTTTAGATACATAAGACGAATTTTCTTTGTTTCATATTATTATAGCTACAATAAATTATCATGAAATTTACAAAAACAAAGCCACTTATCGTTCCTGATACAGGACTATTTATAATTATTCATATTAAATTTGACTGAACATGCCTATTAAATATAAATAAGTATTTGGTTATTATGTCAATAAACTATAATATGCACTTATATTAAAAAATAAACGAGTATTAGGTGATTATTTTTAAAATAAACGAGTATTAGGAGATTATATTAAAATAAATATATAATAGGTGATCATATGAATCATTTGATAATTTTAAGTAGGGAAAGTCACATATTTTTTCTCAAGTTACGTTATAAATCTGCTTTATCTCCGTAAATCAGCTGTGTAGGAAGGATCACTTTACTTGATCAGTCATGATATATAATCATTAAAGTCTTCTTTTTTTATGCAGAACATCTTCGTGTTTGGAAAATCTGAGGATTGTTTTTCCTTTTATGACATGATACAAGATGATGATGGTTTAGCTTATATTGGTCCTCCAAAAGTCAACCCCAAAGAAGCTCCTCTCATTTTGACATTTTCCAGTGGGACGACTGGCTTACCAAAAGCTATTGTTCATACACACTATGGAATTATTGTCTCAACAATGCAGCTTACGTGAGATACACATTATGATTAAATCAACTTGAGTTATCAAATTTGTAATCCTACCTTGGTGACCGAAAGATTTATTATCTGTTGCGTACATTTCTATCCAATTACATTTACGCTGTTCCATTAGTTTTAAGTTATTGTAATGATAAACATATACCATAGCAAAACAATAAGATCGAAAAGAAAGAGCTATTGAAAGCAGTAAATAGTGAAAGTATTTCAAGGTATTGTTTCAGAAAATGTTAGTGCATGAAAGCTATCAAGTATTTATGGAAATAAAAAGTACTTTCAAACTACATTTTAAAGTTTGTTTCTAAGCATAACCTAAAAATTAAATGAGATGATGAAGTTCAAACATCTATAAGGTAAATAAAAGTATGTTATTCTAAGCATTCGTTCTACTCGTGTTGCACACGTTTCTGTACTTGCTTAATAAATAATGTGTTTCTTTCATCATTAGGCATCCTACTACACTTAAGTTCTCATGGGAAAATATCGTCTTATCAACGTATCCACTTTGTCACTTAGGCACCTTCCTAATACTGAATACAGTCATAAAAAATGGTGCATCACTTATTGTGGCTCCATATTACCACTTCGAATTAGTTCTGGAAGTTATTGCTCATCACAAAGTAAGCAGGGCCGTATAAATACAACTTAAAACTCGCTTCTTTTAATTCAGTACGTTATATTGTATTGTGTGTGTGTGTATGAAGTATTTTTAGTTAAAATAGTTCCAGAGCCATTTTCGTAGCATTCAATTTTCAAACTTTTTCTGGGGGGGGGGGATATCCCCAGGCTCCCTAGAAATTGTAATGCAACAATGGTCTAACCACTCCAAAATTACTTCCTACGACAATGGTAAGAATCTGCAAATAGGTGTAATCATGTTAACTCGAAACAAAATGTAATATTTTAATGATTAATTATGTACTTACTTAGCTTACATGTACCAGACCAGATAACTGATTGATAGAAGATTCTGAAAGACGTGTTTATATCACTTGAAACTAAACCACTGACGAAACTTGACACTTTCTGTTACAAAAATAAATATACTTCATTTACAGTTTCAAAGGGAAATGGGGAAAATGTACCAATGACACAATGAGAAAAAAGTGAAGATACAATACACAATGTGGGCAGTAGTTGAAGATACAGTACACAATGTGGGCAGTAGCTGAAGATACAGTACACAATGTGGGCACTAGCTGAAGATACAGTACACAATGTCGGCAATAGTTGAAGATACAATACACAATGTGGGCAGTAGTTGAAGATACAGTACACAATGTGGGCAGTAGCTGAAGATACAGTACACAATGTCGGCAGTAGCTGAAGATACAGTACACAATGTCGGCAGTAGCTGAAGATACAGTACACAATGTG